ACAAGTCAACATAGTTAATTTACAAATTACGTTTCGGGTATAAAAACACAGATCAGGTATTGGGTATAAAAAGTTAGATTTTTTTGGTACTTGACTGCACCTCAGGGAGCTTAAAACACAGTGTTTGTTGTACTGCCAAATAGCATCTGAACTCTATGTGAATGTCTGTCCTTTGATGTTATCAAAGTTAATACTATTAACTGACCGCACCATAACTGACATGATCACATCGCCCAATAATAGCTAGCCATGAATTTAAAGTGTTACTGGTGCTCAGTAAATCCCCACGATGCTTATTAAGAACTCAAAGTGAATGGCCTCCAATGGAGTTTTACAACCTCTGCTATCAAGACTTATGCTTTAGAGATGTTGAGGATTAAACGATTACTGCCCAGTAAGGTGAGGCGATAATCATTTTACGCCATCGCTTTGAATTGATTAGATGGTGATAGCTTGAGAAAATAGAGCTTCTATGCTTTTTCAGGCTGTTAGAAGGTGAGCCAAGTTTTGTAACAGAGATGTGTCTGAATTAGTTTTCAGCATGTGAAATTCTTCAAATTATTTTGCCAATGCTAAAAGGATTAATCTGTTTTTTAATGAAACTGTTCCTTTTTTTAGTGTAAGTTCTACCGATAACATCTATAAAAAGAAGCTTCTCTGCTTCCAGCTCTCTTGCCATCCACATATCTTTTCCACATTGAAATATTCCTTTATACTTTGTTTCATCCTCTCTACCCTATGAACCTTTCCATCCCTCCCTCCATCCATCTCTAACCTTCTCCATACCACCTACACCTCTGTGCTAATTAACACCAGAGCACGGTTGCATTGTGCTGCCCCTTGACCTCATCCCTGCCAGTGGGATTTTGCAGGACTTGGAATCTCACAGCTTCAGTATTAGTTTGTCATAGACTCCTGTCGCACACGAATGTGATAGATGGACCCTGGTGAGCAGCTCTGACCCACCATGCTGCAGCGCTCACTTGGATAGTGTGAGGAAGCATTGATTATAATGCCACTCATGACGGGTGAATCAGGCTGGGATGATGGTTGCAGAACTGGGGAGACAAAAGAGACCAAGGTTATGGATGAGGGGCAGATGGTTAATAAGATGAAATTTGATTTGTGCTCTGTTGATCTCAACATCTTGCAGGATTATTTTCACCTATCATGATTTATAAGCATCTAGAAGGCACAGTGAACCAGTTGAGCTTCACAATTTATTACATTTGAGCATTCTTATCATTGAGATGTGAAATGAACAAAACTTGGTATGTGCAACTGATATGAGTTTTTCTCATGAGTAATTCAAAGTTGTATTAATCTTGAATGATACATTTTTTTATATAATAAGAATAGAGTTGTGTAAGTCTGAGCTTTTTGACTTCTCAAAGTTGTAGCTAGGTATGCAAAAATGCTGTTTGAATCTCATCTATATCAAATTAGCTGCTTTGAGAAATTACCTTTTTTCATCTTTGGTGCATTGAGTTTTTACTGTAATCTTGTTAAAACATCAGTGAAAACTGTGCACATAGAAGGCTAGTATGTGTGTCATATTTCATATAAATGTTTTTATTTTTTATTTTAGCAGAGAGTCATAGGCAGCCACACAAGCTGTGGTATATACATACACTGCATGTACGGAGTCTAATACTGCTGACAGATAGGAGTTATTTTTATTTCAGTCCCTTGGAATGGTTTAAATGAAATAAAAAAAGCAAATGTCTGAACATTTTAGACGAAAAAGCAGGTGTGAGAAAGAAAATAGTCTATATGGGACCAATTCAGTGAGAGAACAGCCGGTGGGTGGGAGTTAAGGGGAGGAGGGCTGATGCAGCAGAATCCACCTGTTCTCATCCCTCTTCCATCCTCTCTCTCTCTTCTCAGCTCCTCCCTGCTTCTCCTCCTCCTCCTCCTCTTTTCCGTCCCTGCACCCAGCTCAGACTGCGGCAGTCAGCTAATTAAAAAACATAGTTGTCCCTTAATTATTCAGCGACTGGCTAATTGATATTCACAGAGGCGATCACCGGGCCTAAATGATTCGTTTAATCTGACCACCGTGGTCTCACTTTCAACCGCGTGTCACCCTCAGCCATTATGCTACTGTACTTATTAAAAGACAGGAAGAAATGGATAGAATGTAGAAGTTATTTGGCTTCCCGGGCTTCAAATATGAACAGTTTTGCGGTGACTCCAGCGGGATGGTGCCCTTATAACAGTTTGTGTTTTCAGTGAGGTATTTTTCAAGGTTCAAGGTTCTTTGTCATTCGCATCATATGTAGTAGTACATGGGGTGGAACGAAATTGTATACTCAAGGTCCCAATTACACCCAAAAATAGCAAAAATATAAAGTATAAAAATAAACTGAATAAGAGGATCTAGGCTATACGCTAAACACTAATAATGTAAAATAATAAATTATGTTAAACAGCAGCCCAAACGTGAGTCTGTAGTGAGCAGCTGGGTACGAATACAGCAGTTTAGAGGCAAGAGATCAGCAGCATGGATAATAAGCAGCACCGATAAGTCACATATCGGGGAGTGGTGGCGCAGAGGTTAGAGAGGTGGGCCTGTGATCCGAAGATCGCCGGTTCACGCCCCGGCCCCGACAACATCAAAATTGTGGGTGGGGTAGGTGAAACACTCACACTTGCCCCCACCCTCATTCGCCCCACTCTGGGCCCATGAGCAAGGCCCTTAACCCCCACCATGTGCACCATGTGCTCCCTAAACAGGTCTCTCTTGAAAATGAGTTCTCGTGGCTCAATGAGACTAACCTGGATAAATAAAGGCTATATGAAAAAAAAACATATCACCAATTAAAGTGGCATTTCAGTGATTTTCCTGGTTAGGGAATTATGAGTCTACCAGCTTCAGGATAGAAGCTGTTCCTCAGTCTATTGGTTCTACACTTAATGCTCCACAACCTCCTGCGTGAGGATTTGCAACAAGAATTTTTCAGTGCGAGTCAGGGGTTGCGGCACAGGAAAAATCGACACGTAAGGCTGAATGCGGACCATGTTCAAAAATTTTATTTAAAGTTGTCTAAAATGTTTGTGTCTGATGAGACTTGCAAATCATTTAGTTAATGAGTTAAAAACTGTTAAAAAGTGCTTTACAACTGTAAACTTCCAACTGGTTAGTTTTCTCATATTTCAAACAAATTCTGAGGTTTTTGGCTTCTTTTTAAGTACGTGAAGATACTTAGCCAATAGTCAATGTTTTTGACACCTCTGTTCATTGATTAGTCCTTTTCATTGTCTGTCTGTTCCTTCAAGTTCACTTCCAGTTTCTTATCTGACTGATTTTTTCTTTTTTTTCCACTCTTCCACCCCCAACCTTTACCCGAGCTCTCCTTCACCAGAAATCACCTCCTTATTAGGGGAACAAAAGGTGGATGGGCAGTGCTGAAGCTTGTCCTATTGTTTGGTCCTTCGTATGATTAGGTTATCTTTAAAGTCTTCTGAATGGGACTAATCGGTGAGAAGTAATCCTGACATAATGTGTGTGCGTCTGAGCCTGTGTGTCGTCAAAAAGGAGGGCCAACCTGCCTACATGGAAAATGAGCACAAGCACCGGTGCATGCACATAGACACTCACACAGACCCTCACAAAAGTGAATAAAAAAAGGAAATCCCTTGGTACACATTTCTGTCGCAACCTCTCCTCTTTTAATGAGCCCTTTAGTTGTGCCTTCAGCACACATTTATTTCTCAGCCTGCTCTCTGTGGGTACAGCTGCTCATGCTACTGCGTGCATGTGATGATTTGTGCACCGCAGATCAGTTTCTGAGCTATTGTGTGTCTCTCTTCATCTGTGTGCATATTTGGTCTTTCCTCACAAAGCCAAAGTCTTTAGTCACCATCTACCGGCATAACATTGCATTTGGACACACTTGTGACAACATTATCAACCCCCTGCCAATGATCTTTTTCTTCCCATCATCCCTTGTCCCTCCAATCTAAACTAAACTGTTGGTAGGAGACAGTTTTTAGCACAACAACATAATCCAATCTCTTGAAAATGTTCCATCCCATCAGGCCATGATTGCAGGCTCAGAATCAATCACAAGTCCTATCCAGTATAACTACATACGTGTAAAGTTACTCTTCAGGACAAATTTACCCAGAGCTGTCTTTTAGGTATAAAATTTACTTGATCCAGTTGTGCATTGCAGCTGCTTTTAGCTTTTGTGTAACACTTAGACACACACATCAACTCTGCTTGTAAGAAATACAACATAGACAATGACTTGACCACAACAATGTTTTTTAAGGCGATCAGAACCACTAACACCTTGGCTTTGGTGTTGTTTTGCGAGTATTTTCAGATGAAAAATAAATTATTTCCCTGGAGTTTGTTTTATTCACTGTCTGACAACATAAAGAAGGTGTTTGACTTTGTAAAATGGTTCTGGTCTCGCATTTTGTAGGGGAGCTTGGAGCATCCTCTTGACTTTGAAACTTCCCCTTCTCGTCTCATATGAGGACAGGGCTCCTCTCCGAATCCTCGTCGCATCTCATCACAATGCATAGAGCATACAGTTTAGCCTCCAGTGTGTTGAGTAGCTGATGGTTATCAGGACAGTGATTGAATGAGGCAAGGCCATTTTTCCTTTTCATTGTTGCATTTTCTTCACTTCTCTTTTTAATCTTTCTGTAGTATTTAAAGAGAAAGCTTTTAGGTAATAACTTTTTGACTCTTTTCTCCAAATAATGTCTGCAATAATCACATATATTACTTTAATTACACTTTATACATGAGTACATTGCTTTGTAGTTGCACGTCACATAGATATTCTGGATTTCTGCATAGGTTTGTGTATATGCAGGTGAGAAAATAAACTGGGAGGATTAAATATAAGCATTCAATCAGCCAATCACTGCTGGCTTCTGAATATCAAACTGTCTCAAATGTCACATGAAAGAAAATAATAAATTTGTATCTCTTTATTCTCTTCTTTTCCGCTCATCTCTTGTTCAATGCTTTCCTTATTCAGGAAATTGAATGGAAGGTGAGTATAGTTTTTAATAGACTTCTTCCTTGCTCTCTTTACTTGACAGATAATTTCTCTCTACTTAAAGTCAGAGTCAGAGAGTCAGAGTTTCTTTATTGTCATTCGCACCTCATGTGGTACATGTGGTGGAGCGAAATTATGTACACAGGGTCCCAGTTACATCCAACAATAAAATGTATAAGAAAAACAGTAATAACATCTAAGATATGAACTAAGAAAAACATAAACTAAATATACACTAAGCACACATAACATAAAACATTGAACATCAGCACAAACATGAACATGAGTCTGTGAGCAGATGTGCACGCATGAACACATCAACATTGAAACAGATCAGCAGCAACATGATATGGTTTTTCACAGTGATTATTCTAGTTAGAGATTCATGAGTCTAACAGCCTCAGGGTAGAAGCTGTTCCTCAGTCTAGTGGTTCTACACTTAATGCTCCTTAACCTCCTTCCTGAGGGGAGTGGGGCAAAAAGTGTGTGTGCTGGGTGGGTGGGGTCCTTCATGATGCAGGTGGCCCTCTTCCTGCATCTGGAGGTGTAGATGTTTGTGATGGTGGGGAGACTGATTCCCTGAGACTGATTTAAAGCTTCTTTGGACATGATACATTTTTCTGTCTGCCAGCATTTTATTCACTTTTTCACTCATTTTTTTAAACTATCAATGAGAAATAGTTTCTACTTGTTTTAAAAGTTTACAAGAAAAGTACACTAGTCAGATCATTATCGCAGTTTTGTATGGAATAAGATTTTGATTTGCATCCATCTCTGTCTTATATGTTGCCTATTTCAAATCCGTTTCAACTGTTGCCGTCATAATACTTGTTGATTTTAGGTAATTATAAGAAACTGAGCAACTGCAAATATAAACTGTAGTGTATAAGTTAATTTATTCCTTAAAACAAACAACTATTATAGCGTTTTGGTTAGCCTTTGGCCCTCAGTCACACCTTGATAGTGCAAGCCTGACTGAAGAAAAACACTATCAAGTACTATCCAACCTGTTTATCACATAGAAAGTCAGCCATGTTTAGTGAAGGTCACAGCAGAGGGGAGGACAGTGAAGATAGGTAGGCTGGATAAATATATATGGCAGAACACAAAGCTTGTTTGCAACAAGAAGTGATGTTATCTTCTTGGCCTGATAGTAGAAGTTGTCTGAGGAGCAAACAGAAGACATAGAGAGCCTGTCAAGACATGATCAGGCTCCTTCGCTTTGATATATGCGCATGTATGCAACAGTCCTTGTTGTGTATATTTATTATTTTTTTATGAGTGTTACTGTGATCATTTTGGTAAAGGTAGAATTTTCTCTCCCATGTGTACATGTTTGTCTGCTGTGCACATGTTTAGGCCAAGCATCTGGAAGCCAGGGAAGCAGATCTAAAGAAACAGGATGCTTTCTACCAAGATCAAGTGGCCCGACTGGAGGACAGGGTAAGAAATTTTTTTTATATTATTATTCATTAGATGAGATATACTGTTTACTACAACGGGAGGGCTATCCCAGGAGCTCTGCTCCATGTGGCTCGTGGACTGAAAGGTGTGTGCAAAAACAAACATCCCACAATCATATGACTTTGCATCGACTGTTCGGAATCGGATGGAGTATGCCAAGCCCTTAAGAAATGAAAAAATAAAAATAAAAAATACAACAACACTGGACACAGAACCTAAAATATGCTTCATTTTTCAGTTGATCATCAACGGTATGCCCATTGTTTTACTTACTGACAATAAACTACCATATGCTGTCTGACAAATTGTGGTAACTTTGATATTTTTATTGATTCAATGAAAAAAATAGGAAAATAAGTGTCTTTGTGGCAAGCTGATGGTAACAAAGAGACTACGAAAACAATTTGAAATTGATTCTTGTTAATTTGTTATGTGTGAGCAGTAGTTCATGTTTTGAGTTTGAAACTTTTTATACCTGAATGATTTAAAGGTCAGTGTTAAAGAGGCCTAAATAAAGAAAAAACAACTGCAGCTAAAGTGAAAAAAAAAAATAAAATACATACACACACGCACATATATATTTGTATAATTTTTATTTTATTTATTCATTTATTTTCTTAACTTACCTCTTTTACCTTAGTGCCTGGAGAAAACCTGCGCAAACACGAGGAGAACATGCAAACCCCACACAGAAAAACCCCAGGTCCAAACCGGGGATTGAACCCAGGACCTTCTTTATGTGAGGCAACAGTGTTAACCTCTAAGCTGTTGCCAACCTAGAAGGCTTGAAGAACTATTCATTAAATACGTTTAAAAATTACAACAATGCCAGGTTCAATGAAAGCAAACTAGAAAGTATTTGGGAATTACTTCAAGTTTGGCACGGTACTATACATGTATTAAAGAATACTGCAGTATACTACAGACATGCTGTCACATACACATATAGGCTGCACAGAAAGCAGCCAGCACCCACAGTGCGAGTAGATATCATAGGATTTGGTCAACTCTAATCACATTTATTTTATTTACTATACTGTCACATTGTCTTTGTTGTCATCCTTCAACTTAAACACTGTGCATCCTGCAGTGTGTTGTGTTCTTGTGCTTTACCTTTTCATTGCCTTTCAACTACTTTTTTAGCTTTTTTTTACTTTCAGGTTTTAACCTTTGTTTTTCTCCTAAAGGATAAAACGTTAAACATTACTCATCCCAATGTGTTTTTGTCTGTGAAAATGACATTATCCTGATGATGCGTGTCATACCTGTGTCCTATGTATTTGGACAAGGGTCATTTGCCATCCTTGGCACACTTCATATGACTGCACCATACTGGTCTCTCTGAGAAATGCCTCCAAGACAATGGACTAGGGTCAAAAGATCTGCTTGAGACTGATAAAAATTATGCTTTCATGCAGCTCCTAAATCCCAAGAATCTCAGTAAGGATAATGTGTCCTGTTTAACGTGCTTAAAATTATACCATCATGCTGGGAAGGAGTTTTTCCCCTGTGGAGAGTCAAAAGCTCAAATGGCTTTCAAAGTGGAAGGCAAAGGAAATTGCATTTTGTTGCAAAGACATTGTGGGTGGACAAAAGGCACCCAGCATATTACTAGTTTATGAATTTTACACACATTTAAATATAGTTTTTATTCTAATCACATATGTGTTCACGTTATTACTGGAAACAATGCTTCAAACAATAGATTTTATCTTTCAGTCATATTAAATTATTTGTTGTTTATGAAGACACATTTACAATTCAGCAGTAATAGTTTGGGTTTATTTTTACTTGTAACACATTTATCAGTCAGCATAAAAAGCTATTGTAATGTGAGTTTTTCAGTTTAAAATTTCAGAAATCCATTCATAGAGCCAAACTTCATTGTTTTTTTCTTGCTCTTCATTACTATTATACACTTGTATTGCTTTGCATACAGGAGCAAAGTGAGTGCAGATAGTAAAAGTGATGAGTTCTGATGAATCCACGCTTTATTGACTCCAAACACTCACCATCCATCAGCCGCGTTGGCCTCTGGTCAATATTCCTTAGATCAAAATGTCAACAAATCACCTTCACACCTCAGAGGGAAACACAATTGAGAGTGAAAAAGACAGAGAAGGTTGGTCGGAGAACATGGACACGAGTCACGAAAAGAGTAAGAAATTGTGATTCAACTCAAAGTGTGACGAGACAGAAAATAAAACTGGACAGTACGAGACAAACTGGAATTAAAACAAGTCCGCCTGCAACGTTATCTCAAAAAATTTATGATAAAGTGACATTTCTGAAAACGTGATATGGAATAAGAACAACAAAAAGATGAAAGTAAAAGAAAAGACACAGAAGACCAGTAAAAAGAGTAAATGTCACAAATGATAGAGAACAAAAGAGGACGGTGAAGAAAAGGTTGAAAGACTTCTACAAACCTATAAAAAGAGAAGGCAAGGATTTGAAACTGAAATGTGAACCGGGGGAAGGAGCTTCAGAAACAAACGGAAAACAACGCATTGAGTTGTTTATTGATTCGTACAATAAATCAATTTCAGACATGATTTGAAAAATCAGGACACATCTAAAAAAGTTAAATCTGGTCCTCTGGACATTAAAAAAAAACAAAAAACAAAACAAAGCAAAAAAAAAAATGTAGATAAGTTTCGTCTTTCATCCGAAAGACTTCCTCAGTCAGAGGTGCTGTATTCAGCTCAGTCTCTTAAATAGCACCTTCTCAGAGTGGATCAACCAGTTTGCTGCTGACAACCAAAACCAGCTGCTCACATGGTCAAGAAGGACCATCAGCCTAACAATAGATCATTAGCACCCTCATGGTTGCTTGCAATTCACAGGGGGCTGAGTGATACTAGCAATAACAGCATTGTAAGAGTGGGACAGTTGAACACGGAGCCTCCACCCCTGTTTAATGATGGACGGTTTCTTTTCACAAAGATGGTCTCCTTTACTCCTCTCTCAAACCATCGTTCCTCTCTATCCAGGATGTGAACATCTTCATCCCTGAAAAAGTAACCACTGGCCTGGAGATGAGTGTAGTCTGCAGAATCCTGGCCTGATGATGTTGATCGTCTGTGCTGGGCCATCCTTTTGGCCAGTGGCTGTTTAGTTTCCCTGATGTAAGACTGATCACAGCCCTCCTGACACTGAACAGCATACACAATATTACTCTGTGCCGGTGGACTGGATCTTTGGGATGAACCAGTCTTTGCCGTAAAGTATTTTGGGGTTTAAAAGCCACTGGGATGTTATGTTTAGAAAATAAACATCTCAGTTTCTCTGATACTCCCTCAACATACGGAATGACCACTGGTCTGGGTCTAACCCAGACCCATACCAGTGAAAATGATAAATAACAGGGATGTTTGGCATCTTACATCGTGTGTATTGAGAAGTCTGGAACTCCACTGGATCTGAATTGGGGCTGAAAGATCATGAACGGTTCTGAAGATGCTTATAATTGAAATTTAAACATTTATTTTTTGTTTTTATGTTGTGTGTAGTTTCAGGGTAATTTAATTTATTATAAAATTATCAGAATCTACAATAATAATTCATGTCTGTACTTTCCCCAAACATGCATTAGTCGAAGAATGTGCCCAGTTTTTTCAGGTAGTGCACAGGTTGTGGATTAAGACATTATATGGTAAATATCCAAAATGTGTCAGCTGGGGACTCCTTTATTCTGCTGGGGGACTTCAATGCCCACGTGGGTAAAGACAGTGTGACCTGGAGGAGCGTAATTGGGAGGAACGGCCTCTCTGATCTGAACCCAAACAGTGTTCTGTTGTTGGACTTCTGTGCTAGTCATAGTTTGTCCATCACGAACACCATGTTCGAACATAAGGGTGTCCATAAGTGCACTTGGCACCAGGACACCCTAGGTCGTAGATCGATGATAGACTTCATAGTCATATTGAGCATGCATCAGGATATATGGTAAATAATACAGTCTGCTCATGTTTTTAAACAACAAAACTTATAACTTCTTTAAGGAAAAATGAAAAAAATATCTTCTCCTTGAATCGCCACCTTATCGTGGTGGAGGAGTTTGTGCACCTGAATGATCCTAGGAGCCATGCTGTCGGGGGCAATTATAATTGCCCCTGGTAGGGTCTTCCAAGGCAGATTGGTCCTAGGTGACAGGCTAGACAAAGCACAGTTCGGAAGATTTTTATGGTCATGACACAACAAGGAACTCTGCGTCCCTTGCCTGGACGTGGGTTACCGGGGCCACACCCTAGATCCAGGCCTGGGGGAGGGGCTCGTCGGTGAGAAACTGGTGACCGGGTCTCTACCCATGGAGCCCGGTCGGGCTCAGCCCGAAGGAGCAGATGGATTTGCCTTCCTGTGGACCCACCACCTGCAGGAAGGGCCATAAAAGTCAGGTGCATGATGCTATGGGCAGTGGCCGAAGGCAGGGACCTTGGCACTCTGACCCTGGCTTACCAAAGCTCGCTCTTGGGACATGGAATGTAACCTCTCTTGCAGGGAAGGAGCCTGAGCTTGTGCGTGAGGTTGAGAGGTACCAACTAGATATAGTTGAGCTCACCTCAACACACAGCATGGGCTCTGGAACTGATCTCCTCGAGAGGGGCTGGACCTTATTCCACTCTGGAGTTGCCCATGGTGAGTGGCGCCGAGCTGGTGGGTCTACTTGTAGTCCCCCAACTTGGTGCCTGTGTGTTGGAGTTTTCCCTAGTAGATGAGAGGTTGTCTTCCCTTCGCCTTCGGGTGGGGGGACATGCTCTGACTATTATTTGTGCCTATGCGCCTAACTGCAGTTCAGAGTATCTGGCCTTTTTGGAGTCCTTGGCAGGGGTGCTGGAAGGTGTGTCAGCTGGGGACTCCTTTATTCTGCTGGGGGACTTCAATGCCCACGTGGGTAAAGACAGTGTGACCTGGAGGAGCGTAATTGGGAGGAACGGCCTCTCTGATCTGAACCCAAACGGTGTTCTGTTGTTGGACTT